AAAAAAAAAAAAAAAAAAAAAAAAAAAAAAAAAAAAAAAAAAAAAAAAAAAAAAAAAAAAAACAGAAGAAGAAGAAGAAACAATGTAAGGTCTTATTAGAAACAAAACATAGGTAAAGCAACAGGCACAGTCCATACCCAGATTCAGAGGGCCGTGATTCAAGCCAGATAAGGCGACCAGAGTCATCAACAGCAGTACCTCCGATTCGCTTGGAGGCGCCGGACACAACATCAGCGGTGATTGGGGACTTCCATGAGCCATAGGGTGCAGTGATTTTTTCCAGTTGGTCAACTACTTCTGGGACTTCCTTGCTAACTGAAGATGAGACAGAGGAAGCCATTGTCCTTCGCTCTTCAGAGTGAACTATGATTCCCGAGACCGGCGATACAGTCAGTATCGGTGCGATTAGGAGCTAGATGAGAGTAGCTACCGACCTCCGTTTCACTTTACCTTCAACATCGTTGTTTGGCGCCTCGATTTTATGGGAAGTTAAAATTTCGGGTCCCTTTTTTATGTCCTCGAATTGCATGCTTCAAGGCTGGAAGAAAAATAGTATTTTTCCTACGCAGAAGGTAACAACACTTCCGATCGCGGACGACGAAATCTTTTTTTTTTTTTTTTTTTTTTAATACATTTTTCTAATAAAGGACAATTTTCTTTCTCCCCTCTCTTTCCGAGCTGTCAAAAGTTAATTAAGTGGACACTAGGAAGATTGTTAGCACTACAGTCTGCTTGGAAAATTTTCTCTTTCTGTCTTAATTCTTAGCATTATTTAAAAATAGTTTAAAGATCATAAAAAAGAAATAAGATATCATTTGATGATGCATTAAATCAAAAAGGGGAGAAATGGGTATTTAATGTTAAAAATTTCCCCTGGCAACGAAACCACCTCACAGCAGCTACAAAAGAAATTTGGACTTTTATACTGGCAACCAGCCAAATTGGCATGCTTGGCTCAAAACAAGTTTTGCACGTGACCACTTGCCGCCACACTAGAGATAAGACAAAAACCAAAACACTTCAAGAGTATGAAAATTTACGGGCATGGTTCAGGTAGAAATTTTTGGGTTTGATTAGTGGTCTGAAAAAATTAGAACTGAAAATAAGGGTTAATAAAAAAATATAGAGTTGTATTTTATGTTTAAAGTAGTAGCAAATTTAGAAGTTAGATTTCAATATAAACAATTGGCGAAAATATGTTTGATAGTATAGTTACAAATCATTAAAAAAGTTCTAATTGCCAGCTAAGTTTCAAATTAATTTCCACTACTATTATTTAATTTACATGTTTTTATGTTAAAAGATTAGTAAACTAAAACATTTCAGCATGAAACGCACCTGCAAAATCCAAGCAAGGGACTCCCACCCTCCGTCGTTGAACTGATAATGATGCATATTAAATAATGAAAATGACATGCAAGCTTAGGAAACTTACCAAACATTGTTGAATTGAATACCCAAAAGCAGTTCCGCCGGAAGGATGATTATTGACCAATTGAACAGAAATTAAAATTTGAACACGCAAATCTGCTGGCCTTTAAAGGGTAATCACGTCACGACCCGTAACACATATTATTGGCTTCCCATCTTGGAGCTCAGCACTGATATGGCCAAGTGACTCAAGTCACACACCCCAAGCTGAAGGGGGAAACCCATCATCTAAAGCTTAAACAGATATCAAATTTACCAAACAATTTAAGTAAGAGATATAAGGGGAAGAAACTATAATCCAAACGACACACTCCACACAGTTGACACATCTGCCTTTCAAACTTCTAATCGGAGTTACAAGGGCATTGCGTTTACATTAAAATACAATTGAAGTAAAAAAGAAAGAGTTCTCAAAACCCACCGGTGTTTACGTTTAAATACTTTAAAAGATAAATAGCCTTTAAAAATTTAATGGATGTCTCCAAGACTTTTCAGTAGGCATATAAGAGATTCTACACCGTCACACATAAATAGGCCTACAAATTGATCAAAGAGGGGGGAAAAGAGACGACAAAGAGAAAAAAATACAGATAAAGTTAGTTGGGAATGGATAACATGTATCACTGCTCGATTGGCAAAGTAATTTCAGTGCCATACTAGAAGCATGCATTGTGCCATTTAATTAACCAAGCAATTTTACACAATACACTTCATTCAGAAGCACCTCTTGTTCACGACTTTTAGAATCTAAGATCACACAGATTTCTTATCACATACCACGCCGAGAGCACCGCAATTTCATTAAAGCACATATAGTTATGACCAATCCTAGTTGGTAAGTGAAAGAGCAGAATTCGGACACCACACATGTATTATTTCAACATATTTCTCTGTTAGTGTTAGTTGAACTGTTCTAATAATCATATAAAATTCAAGAAAAAAACTAAAAAACACATAAAGAAGTTGGCATTTCTGAACTGTTGTACGAAATGTAAGCAATGTAAAGACGTCTTCAGTTTCCGAAGATAGTGATTGATTTCTCATCTTTTCTGATTAGTAGCGCGTATGGTTAAAACAATCAAGGATTTTAGCCTAATACCTCTGTTTCGTATGCATATGATTCAAAAATACCAAGTCAGTCTTATCAGCGAAGATGTCGAAACAATATGAAAATCTTATACTCCGATACTTCTCTGATCTCAAATCATCAGTAAATAAATAATATAAATACCATCAGTTCAAGATATACGACATCGAGTAACAGTAAATTGACGGGAAGAAAACCGTACCACTCGAATGGTGAGTATCACATTGAGTCATGATAGCAACGATGAAATCCTACTCCAAACCCAAGAGAAATGCTGAGAAATAAAAATGGCGCGAACGAGCGTATAAGTAAAACGAAAATCAAAACACAAAGCATAAGACTCAACACGCAGTCACGCACCATTGCCTCAGAATGCCATAAAACGCGAAGAACCAGACAATAGCAAAACCCTCGTAGGAAAAAAAAAACAGTAGGGCAAAAGAATAGAAACTGAGAAAGCCGAAAAGAACTCTAACCAGGAGACGATGCAACTTTCATGAAGGGTAAACCAGCAAACCGGGCAGGCGGGAATGAATTTATACGTAATATTTTAACATACATTGTTGAGCAAAAATCAATCGTTTTTATGTTGGACTATTTCTCAGTTTCGATTTTGGACTACGCATGAATTTTTAGAGCGAGTTGCTTGCGAAATACGCTTCTCTGATTAGCTTGTGGGCTTTGAGGCCCATCTTCATTTTATTTCTTTGAAGCCCAATAGTATCACCTCCGGCCCACTGAAATAAATGACCTAAATATCAAATGGAATATTTTGAAAGATTCATAATAATAATAATAAATAAATACAGAAAATTACCTATGTACCTACGACGGGTGGGGAGGACTGAGATTATAATCCTCGTCACATATTTCATTCTCTAATTTCACCAAATTTTTCATTTATTTTCGTAGAATTAGAGATTTTTTTTTTTGTCGGTATATTATTCTTTAAAAATAATATATTTTAAAACTTTTATTTTTCAATATAATTTTTATTAAAATAAATGTAAATAAATAAATTTAAAAAAAAAAAAACAATCCTAATAGATAAAGGAGACATATATATTAGAAAATTTAATTTTTAATACAACGTGGCCTTTAATAATACAAAAATTGTATTTGGTTTAAATATTATAATTTGTCTCAAAATTATTTAATATAGTTAAAAAATAAGTATATGTGTTAAAAATATATTTATATTAAATAGGACATGAAAGGGAATTGATGGGGATAAGAGACGGGGAATATAATTCCATCTCTGACCCCATTTATCTAACCGAGAATAGATGTTTCTCACTCCCTCCCGCATATTCCATCTAAACGGGAAATTCTAAATATTTTGTAATATTAATAACATAAAGTTGGAAGAAAGAAAATAATCAAGAAGGTAAATATGAAGGATAAAGAGCCACGTCAACAAAAGAAGAGAGGAAAAGTGAAACATAATTTTGGAAATAAAATAATAGTTGCCTTTTTTATGTAGCCATTTGCGAATGTTCCAATATCTATAGCCTAATCATATGCAACAGAACCCACCCCCATCCCCAATTATCAAATCATAACCCCATTATTTCCCTTCTTTTATTTTTTTTTTATTTTTTTAAATTATATGCTTTTGAATTTATGATAACCAAGGTTTTTAATTATCAAATAAGGATTAGTATTATTAAATTAAATATTAATGCAAACATGTTCTGAAACCTACCACGTTCTCTTTTGATAGAATTGTAAAAGGAGTACAATAAATTTAAAATCTAAAATAAAAATCCCAACTTTGCTGTCATCTCATCAGTTTCTTCAATTATTGGACTTGTTTGTACTACAGAAATGCATAGCCAAACAAAAAGATTTGTTAGGCATAGCAAATAACCCCATTTGATTCCGTGGTTGGATGGTGTAATTTGTACCCATAAATTTGGTAACTTAATTAGCCTTCAAGAAACTATATATATATTTTTTAATTATTAGTAGGAGATCAGCTTTCAATTTTATCTCACATCTTTAGACATATGTCACCTACAATGTGATACCACGAGCTTTTTCTATCATATTGAACAAACATATCGATGGAACTAGAATATTCATCTTTTTTCTTGTCGAGAATTTATATATTTCTCCCCTATCCTAAACTTCCGACACTAAAATAAATACGTAGAGATTGATTTACACAAACACGTAGGCCCTAACTTGTTAGATTGAGAATTCAGATGAACTTAGTAGATAAATGAATAGGGTGTTGAGCATTAAAGAAGTTTGGTGGTAGAAGACAAGGATGGGACCTCCACTTAGCTTCACCTAAGTTTTATTCTAATCGTGGATAGATCATTCAGGTTAGGGTCCATAAGCAATGACAATTGCTTCACGAAGACTCGCTGTCGTGACGACTTCAGTGGATTCCCCCAACCAAGTTACTGCCTATGAGTCGTCGGTTCATTCTTGAACAGAAAACAATGGCGGGCAGAGAAATAGAGAATTACAACGAAAGAGTTAAAAGAGTCACATCACAAATCTACAATAATTTAACCATAAATTTACTTTGCATGAAAACCCCTTTCTCTTGTCTCTGGCACTCAAATAGTCCCTCCAAGTAGACGTTGTCAACCCTTATGAAAGCGACTCCAAAATCAAAACCATTCACATTATCATAATAATAACAATATGAAGAAAAAAATAAACCCACCCAAAATGGAAAATTTTAGTTTGATTCGATTTGGTTTGGGTTCAAATTAGCGAACATTTGGGATACAAGAAGATTAAGTAAGATGTCACTGTTGGTAAGTAGACCAACAATTTATTACAAGACCCGGGTTGCACCACAAAGGGGGAGATGGGAGGCCCATTATCATTTATTATAAATATTCTTGTTAGATTTTTGTACATTAATTATAAGGAAAAGATAATTGTAATTCACTTCAATTTTTTGAAAAATATTTATTTATTTAGTTACGTGCCTAAAGTAGCTTTTTTTTAGTTTGGGATAAGACTACGATCTGACAGAGGAAAAGGAAGAAAAGGAAGAAAAGGAAGAAAAGGAAGAGAAATTTGCATGGGAAAATCGGGAGGTAAGGGTGGGAATATGAGCTGCACCTCAATTATTATCACCATTTTCTTTCCCCCAAAAAGCATAAAAGCAATTCGTGATGTTCATTCAAAACCTAATCATCAGAGAAGCACATGCCCAACATTTCCCACTGCCCCCATTTTTCTTCTTTTAATCAATTTACTTTTCCTTTAATAATATACATCCCAAACTAATAAATAAATAAATATGTCTTATATTGAGTTTATAGGCTATCTCTCCCAGTCGTTTCTCTACGAGGTCGACTTTTTTCTTCCTTCAAACCGAGCCAAGTTACCATCTATAAACCAAAACCACCCCTTATGTTATCAAGCATTGAATTCCACTGTTTTTTTAGTCACCCAAGTCAGTCAACATCAACCCTTTAGGCCTTATAAAATATTATGTATTTTATTACACAAACTCTATCATATCTGTTTAGTTGAGTGAGCCCGTTGTTTGAATTCCCCTTTTTCCCTTTCCCACTCGCAAGATTCCAAATGACACACAGAAGCCCAACCAAGATGACCAACAGCCAACTTCCCCATACCCCAACCGCCCCCTATTTATGCCTTCCCCCATTTCCCCTCTCCAAATAATCAAAAACCCCAAATTCAATACAAATAACCCATTTAATTATGCCATCTCTTCACTCCAGCCCATTCATGGACAAGTCTGTCTTCCTCTCTCTCCTCCGCCACACCTCCAAACGCCCCAAATCCTCCTCTTCCGGCGGCGGCGGCGGCGGCGGAGGAGGAGGAGGAGGAGGACTTCTCAAAATGTTCAAGTTGTTCCCGATGTTGAGCTCCGGCTGCAAAATGGTGGCTCTCCTGGGCCGACCCAGAAAGCCCCTTTTGAAAGACCACGCCACGACGGGCACAATCTTCGGGTACCGTAAGGGCAGAGTGAGCTTGGCGATTCAAGAGGACCCTCATTGCCTTCCCATATTCATAATCGAATTGCCGATGCACACGGCGGCGCTGAACAAGGAAATGGCGTCGGACATTCTGAGGATTGCGCTGGAGAGCGAGACGAAGACCCACAAGAAGAAGCTAATGGAGGAATTCGTGTGGGCGGTTTATTGCAACGGAAGGAAAATTGGATACTCCATTAGACGGAAGCAAATATCCGATGATGAGCTTCATGTCATGCAGCACTTGAGAGGGGTTTCCATGGGCGCCGGAGTTCTGCCGTCTCCGGCGTCGGAGAAGGATAATTTAGACGGGGAATTGACGTACATGAGGGCCAGATTTGAGAGGGTTGTTGGATCCAAAGATTCGGAAGCTTTGTATATGATTAATCCCGATGGGGCGGCCGGCCCCGAGTTGAGTATTTTCTTCGTCAGATCTCAATAGAATACATTTTTTTATTCCTCTGTATAAATATAAATATTTTATAGCCATTTCTAAAGAAAGGCTTCATTTTTTTTTTTTTCCCTTCTTTTGTTGAAGGATCTCTAAGGATGGCTATCATGGCTGTTGCTGTATAATTGGAATTCTTTCCACATGTAAGGGTTTTTCTTTTTCTTTTTTCTTTTTTTGGGAAATAAAATTGCTATAAGGGTTATTTCAAATGAATATTACAAATTTGAGTTGAATGTTTGAAGCTCGATGCAACTGAAATCTTCAGCAGTTATATGTATATTCAAATTGGCATCAAACAGAATATTTTATGTTTTTTAATCCTTCCAATCATGATATAATGATGAGATTATTTATATGATAGTCATCAGGTTATGAAGTCAATAATTGGTCAAATAATTTTATATGCCTAAATTCCTTTTCAAGTTTCTATATATATATATATATATATATATATATTTTTTAATTGAACGTTAAGATCTTTAAATCTTTATCGATAATATAATATCTTCATCAATTTAATAGGAAATTAATAAAGTTTATAATTTAACAATAAAAAAAAAAATGAAAGGTGAGAAAATGAAGCTATAATTTAAACCTGTATACGTGGCCCCTAAAGTACGTAAAATGGTGTCACCCTTCAATTACTTTGTCTACCTCCTTGTCCTATTCTCATTTTTTCAGTCACTGCCCACCCCACATTTTTTCTTTACTATTCTATTTATTTATTCGGTCCTTTTGTTATTTTTAAAATCTGTGATAAAAAAAAAAAAATGAAACAAAAATGTTTTTCCTTCCAAAACCAAAATATCAAGCTAGCGGGGACGAATATGGGCCCACATCGCATGGCCCATTACAATTGGGCTTCTCGGCTCGTTGGAGCAGCCCGTGCGAGCCCATCTTCATCAAGTAAATGAAACATCGTCTGGAGCCCACAGGAGTGGGACAAATCACCAACTTGGACGCGGTATGATGCGAGCTAGTGGGACCGGCCCGAACAATGGAGGGGAGCGCGGTGGGCCCAATGGATCCAACGGCTCAATGATTCCAATCATGGAAAGACATCAAAGTGATGTACGCACGAAACGGTCCAAGAGAGTCTACGCAGAATAAAAAAATTAAACACTGTCTGAGGACAAACAGACCATTCAGCGGATTCGGTCACAGCTGGGTTTGAAAATCGCCGCTCATCCCCGAGTCGGTGAAACCTTCTGTTCTCATCCGTTTGAAGCCAGCTGTATCTGTAACTGCCCAACCGATTCCCGCTAAAGGTTGGTCACAGTCACGCCATAAATATTGCCACCTGGCACCCTCCAATACAATCTTGTGTATGACGCCAATAGATAAATACTCCCCTAGGTGCGTTACATTTACATTTCATTCGTAGTTTTGGTCGTTGTTTGTCAGTCTCTACAACCTTCTACCAAATAAGGGCAGCTCGAATCACGTGAGATTCTTACAGGCTGTAGGAGGGCCCTCTTATCCAGTAACTTATTTATCACAAAATTAAAAATTATGAGAACAAACAAATAGTCGTCTTTGCTTTCCACCAAATAGTTTTACATTTAGTCTTTAATTATTTTCTTCAAATTTTTAAAATTTTATTTTAGTGATGATTTAAATGAAACAAAATTTTACCAATATTACGAAACTTGCATGGTTAATAATTTCCCCCTAAACTTATTGATGGCAATGCAATAATCATTAAACCAAATAAATAAAAATTGAAATCAACAAAAATTAAAGTGCAATTTAATATTTAATTTAATGATGTGATATGATATTTTAACGTTGAAAGCAAGGTCAATCTCAGCCGTTGATTAAACATAGTGACGCTCCTTGATTGGCTGCATTGGGCCAAATCAGTCAAAAAGGCTCGGACCCACTTTGCCGTTTGAATTTATTTATTTTATTTATTTGGTTAAACAAGTTTGGCCTCACTGTCATGTGCTTAATTCCTCCACATGAAATGGAACACACTTAATAATAACTTATGACCGTAGTCTATTTTATATTTCGCCGATTTCTTGTCCAATAAAGTTAACTAGAAGCTTTAATTAAGGTGCAACATGTTGTTTAATAATCTAATAATTATTCTCCCTTCTACTGCTACTAATATATCTCTAGTGCTTATTTATGAGTCTCTTTCTAACATTATTTAATTAATAATTTGTAAGCAAGAAAAAATATTTATTCTATTACAACATGTATACATAATAAACTATTAATTGTAATGCAATAATCCAAAATTCTAAAAATAATTGAATCCATGAAACCGGCATTCATGGGACATCCACCTAGTCTTTGACCCATTGTCGTCTACAGGACATAGGTTGCTACATGTACTTTAAATTTCAATTAAAAATTTGTAAACATTAAACTAAGACATGAATTTGATATTATATATATGTATATAATGACGTGGCAAATATTTGTTTTCTTCATATTCATTTCACATAAGACCTTTGCTAGATTGTGACGATCGGAAGAAATCATGTTGACCCGACCCGTAAAATCTAATATAATTTTATATTATATGATCCTATAAAATTAAATGCTATTTTGTTGTTAATGTTGGGAGAGAAACATATAATCATATCATATTTATTTTGTAATTAAATAAATTTAATTTGGGAATCTATTATTTAAAACAAGGTTTAGGAACAAACTTATAATTTAAGTTTGTAGAATTTGATTGAGGAGTAAAGAAAAGTCTATATTCTAAAATTAAAACGCGTCTCCTTTCTATTTCTGTCTTTAAATCCTTGATTGAGAAGCATGAACGAAGTGGAGATTAAAGAGGAATCTAGAAAATTAATTTTGTGTTAAAAAAAAAAAAAAGAAAAAACCCGAAACAGTAACGGGTCGGGTCGATTTCGTTGCCCGCCCACCAACCTTACAAAAAGCCACTTTCCGAGAAGTAACCTTCTCATTGTTGTTGGTATATAAATCCCCAACGCATTGCATTGCTTCTCTCTGTGCTCTCCCTTTGCCATATTTCCGTACTCGTTTTCCTCACTCCGCCGATGGACATTCAAAATTCCTCTTATTCCTCTTCCACCTCCGAGTCCTATTCCTCCGATTCCTCTCACTCCGGCAAGCCCTCGCCGGTAAACTCCGCCGTCCCTGATAAAATCAAAGGCCCATGGAGCGCCGAAGAGGATCGGGTCCTGACCCGACTCGTCGACCGCTACGGCCCTAGAAATTGGTCTTTAATTAGTAGATACGTAAAGGGCCGCTCTGGAAAATCCTGCCGGCTCCGTTGGTGTAACCAGCTCTGTCCCGGCGTCGAGCACCACCCTTTCTCCCAGGCGGAGGATGACGCCATCATCGCTGCCCATGCCCGCTACGGCAACCGGTGGGCCACCATTGCTCGCCTCCTCCCTGGGCGAACCGATAATGCCGTCAAAAACCACTGGAACTCCACTCTCAAACGCCGAGTCAGAAACGACAGAAAATCCGCCGGTAATCGCACTTCGGACGTGGGTGGGGGTTCGTTGGTGGGCGTCAATGACGACCCATTGACCGAGCTAACTCTGGCCACTCCGGGAATGGGTGCGGGAGGTGAGGTGGCGGTGGAGTCCGACCGCAGGAGGGAGAGTATGCCGGCGGGATTCTGGGAAGCGATGAGGGACGTTGTAGCGAGGGAGGTGAGAGAGTACATGACGACGACGTTTTCGGAAAATCCGGGATTCATTAAAAATGAAAGGGGCTAATATGTAAATGTGGAATTTATGGATTTAATAATGTATGGTGAAATTCTAAATTTATTTGGAATTAGTGGAAATTAGAAATGAAGAAAAAGGGGGAGGGATTAGGGAATGGGGATCAAAATTCCCGGCGGCTCTTTTGGAAAAGCCCACCCGTGTGCTCCACAGCCTGTCATCAACGCAAATGCTCACTATTTATTCTTTGCTCATAGGCTTAGAATAGGATGAATCAACACAGGTGACCAACCACTAAATGGCACGTGGACATGCACTCTCAAGTGCGCAGTATTGCTTTTTGTGTACTCTCTTTTGGTTGTCATTGGCTCATGCAAACCATGCAAAAATTATGTTCAAATAAAATAAAGCCTTAGCCTTTTTTTATTATTATTATTTTTTTTTTTTTGTACTTTCATTTTTTAGCCTCGTGGGGATGCAACCTTGTACTTCAAAAAGAAGTTTTAAATTAAACCCACGTTCTTAGTTACATTCAATTCTCATATCAAGTAGATTAAGATTTTTTTTTTTTTTTTTTTTTTGAAAGCGCCAAGTCTTACTGCTAACCTATATTGTTCTTTCGGACTTTCTCTCAAGATTTTAGAATGCTTTTGTTAGGGAGAGGTTTCCACATCCTTGTAAATGATGTTTTGTTTTCCTCTCTAACTGATGTGGGATCTCATAATCCAACTCCCTTCGGTGTCCAGCGTTCTCGTTGGCACTCGTTCCGCTCTCCAATCGATATGAGATCTCACAATTCACTCATTTCAAGGACGTGATACTCGCTCCTCTCTCTAATCGACGTGAGATCTCACAATCCACCCTCATTCGGAGCCCAACGTCCTTGCCAGCACACTGTCTTGTGTCCACCTCCTTTTTGACTTAGTATCCTTGATGGCGCACCACTTGGTGTCTAGCTCTTATGCCATACACCCGACGGGTGTTTGACACCTTGTTAGTATAGTAATAACTTTAATTTTCTTTAAATCTATCTTAGTCAATCCTATACCTAAGATCGCTCTCATTAAGATGAAGGAGTGTCACATTTTAACAAACTATTGTTAATTTGAATAGACACAGTCTCTGTGATATAAAAAATAAAGAATAAAGCATAAAAATGGTAAAATGGGTGCATTTCACCTGATTGTTATTTACTTTCTCGCATAATGGTTGATTGGTATATTAATTTGGTTAATATTCCAAGTTAAGTAACTCGTGATGGAAAACAACAATAAAAAAAAAATAAAGACTTTATAGGCTGTTATTTTTTTTCCTTCTTTATTTTTAGTACTTTAAGATAAAAGACCAAAACAAGAAGGAGAAAGTGAGGTTGATATAAATACATGTTTAAAAAAGATTAGTTAAGGAAGGGGCGGTTGGCATAGGAATAGTGAGGGGTGAAAGTGGAAATGGTGGAACAATGATTCCCACTCATATAAAGTAATGCGGCGCCGCTTTATTTGCCTTTTTCTATCTCTTTTTATTACTATCCAATATTAACGATGTGATGAA